AGCCAGTCAGGCCAGGAGCAAAGCGTTTAACTGGACCAAGTTCTGAGGGTAACAGCGCCTTAGGAGCGCCATACTGAGAAATTTTCCTTGTTAGATTACAGAAGGAAAGCCCTACAACCAAGAGAATGAAGTCAGAACATTACTAGAGAAAGGTCATAGCATCAGAAGCTAATTCCAAAAAAGCTTAAAAAACATTCCCCTGGACTTTGTTTCCAAGTTTAAAGCCATTTCTCTTCTCATGCAGGAAGCTTTTTCAATTCAAAATATCAGAAATAGCGTGGAGTTCGAGGTTTTATGGAGTGGACCAACAAAGCCTTGTTTTGGTTTAGAAAACATGCAAATTGAAACAGACGAACAGGTTAAAGGGAAATCCCTTTCAGAGACATAGACAGGTATCGGGTATTTTAGGCTAACAAAGAATCCAAACGACCTCCATTCCAAAGGGGTGGACCCGTTTATCTGGTTCAATTTGCCTGTTTTCTAAGTCAAAACAAGGCTCTGCCGGGCTACTGTATGAAGCCTCGAACTCAAGGGCTAGTTATTCTCCCGCAGCAATGTGTCGCGGTTAGCTTGTCGCAGGTATGAAGCAGATGTTATTGATTTATGCCCAATTTTTAAGCGTGGTGTGTGCTATGTTATTCCACGCCACAACGCAAGAGGGACAATCAGGATCTAGCAAGGATTGTGGGTGCCCGTGTGTCGGTTAGACGAGCTTGTTTGTCATCTACAGCCACTCATCCAACACAGACGACACACAGTTCATCCGTGAGTGTCTCCCAAAGACTGGCCATGGCGCTGTGTGTTTTGGTTTTGGCTGCAAACCAACAGACCGTCGCACAGAGCTACAAACTAGCTTCCTGCACGGTGTCTGGGATAGTGTCCGAGGTGTGTCAGGCGCTGTGGACGGCACTACAGCCAGAGTTTCTGCCATTAGGTACCAAACAGGAAATACGCATAGTGTAGATCAGATGCAGAACTGACCAATCAGAGGCCTCCTGTCTGCAGTCGCCTACAATTTTGGGCAGGTGCAGGAGAGTGTCTGCATATCTGCGTTAACTGCGACAGATCGCCTCCTGTTGGTGTTCAAAGTCTGAATCTTCAGCAGCATTCGGTCAATTTGCTCTAAAGCTGCTGCCCAATCAGGATTAGCTTAATCCTTAAAAGAGAGGGAAGCATCCGGATCTAATACTAATGAAATAAGAAATGCATCAAACAGACCTGCCAGGATGTCCTGCAGCATGCATGTGAGCGAGTACTGCGCCCAGGCCCCTCCCCAGGAGATGTCCCCTCGGTTGAAGTCCGTCCCTACGAGCAGCAGCAGCAGGCGCTCCAGCTGCTGCTCGGACACCACCTCACACAGATGGATCGTGGGTCTGGTGGCGTTGGCTATTCGGGCCAGAACCTGCAGGGGAAACGGCGTGAATCTCAGGGGTCACATTAGTCGGGGTCCTTCCCGCAGGAGGTCAGAGGTTACCTTGCAGACGAACAGCAGCAGGTCGGCGTGGCAGGTGAAGTCCATGGAGAGCAGGAAGAGGGCCAGCTTCTGCACCACAGAGATGCAGCGCTCGTGGGACAGAGTGAAGGGCAGCGGCTCCACCTCAGGGGCGTCTTTGGCTGCGGTGGACTCTGCGTCCAGAGTAGAGCGAGGCCATTCGGCCGTCCGCCTCAGACGGATCAGGTCTTTAAAGTGCTGCGGAGGGAAGCGGACGCTTGGTTGGAGACGTGGGAGAAGAAGCTGGAAGCTTGGAGCTTCTGGGCCACTCCTTACCTTAGAGGTGGCTTGTTTGAGTTTGGCCTGTTCTACTAGGAGTTTGTAGGAGGAACCTTTGTTGCTCTGGATTTTCTCCTTCTCTATCTGCTCAAACAAAGCTTTCTGTTTTGCTTTCAATAGATTCAACTGCTGCAATAAAACAGGCAGTATTAAAGAGCGTCTGCAGAAGGCATTGCTGTGAAGCTCCTCACATTGCTCTGCTCTGGAGCTGAACATGTTTACCTGCTTGTGATGAACCAGCTGCTTGCGGAGCTTCCGGGAATAGAGCCGGTCCAGGCTGCTGCTGCCTTTCGCCGCACGGCTGGAGTTCTGGGACTGCAGAGTGTTGTTAATAAAGCTCCACTGAGTCACTGCAACACAGGAAGCATCAGATCAGATCCTCGTCCACAGGACGTCTAGAGTACGGACAGTAAGGCAGGGAGGTGTGTGTGCGTACCCGTAGCAGGCCGGTCCCGCTCCTTCCCACCCAGGTTCTTCTTGGCCGCTGACGCCTCGTCCTCGATGTTGGCAACATAGTCCAAGAGTCTGGACACCAGCATCACCACCCAGCTTATCATGGGGATGTCTAGGATACCTGGAGGGAACACAGACATGGTCCTTGTACCTGAGGTGCACATGAAGGGGGATGGCGGCTCTGCGGGTGCTTTACCTGCTTTACCTTCAGCCCTGCGCTGAGAGGCAGCCTGCGGTCGCTGCAGAGGGGACAGAAGGCTGTCCAACAGGTTCAGGAGCCCCTCCAACACGCCGCTGTTGCTCAGGGATCTTTGGCCGATGCAGGACAGCAGCATGAACACTCTGCAGGGACCAGAGCAGGAGTCGGTTACTAGAGAGTCAGGATGAACCCTGGAAAGAGGGTTCAGAGAGCAGCAGCATTCACTCGGCAGCTTGCGCTGTAATCAC